GGAGACACCAGGTGAGTCCAGGAGACACCAGGTGAGTCCAGGAGACACGGAGACACCAGGTGTGTTTGAATTGTTACCTGGCCAGAACGCAGATGTTTCCCACCGTGTAGAAGATCACGAACACAGCGAGGCCGAAGCCCGGGATCCACAGCATGAAGGTAGCCTGAGTGCAGAGAAACATGCTGTTACCACGGAAACAGCAAGGTTACAACCAGGACTGGTGGTTACCATGGAGACAGAGACTGACAAAAAGACTGTTACCATTAGAACAGGGGCTGTTACCATGGCTACAGACAGGAAGAAAAGTCTGCTGCCATAGAAACACAAAAAAGACAGAAGATTGGTACCATGGTAACAGACTTAAAAGATAGACGGGGGAGGTTACCAGAGAGATGAAAGACAGGAAGTAAAATGAGACATGCTGTCACCATGGAAACAGGATGAAAATGACAGACGCTGTTACCATGGACACGTTGGCTACCAAGAAACAAACAGGCGTACTGTTACCATAGAAACAAGAGCATCATTGAGGTACTGTCACACTGACTCACCAGAACAGAGAAGAACGCTCCAGCGACGAAGCAGACCAGGAAACCCTTCACCCTCGTCCCACAGGCAAACGTCGACGCCTCATTGGCTCTCTGCACACATGACACCATCATCATCACACGGCAGGTGAAGGTTCAACAGGCGTGTTCAGGTGCGGACAAACACTAACAAACTGCTTCAGGTCAAATCAAATATTGACAAAGTTTCATCACATTGTAATGAGATTACACACAAACTGTCATGCGATGTATCAACATAATACTTATTTTGTAACAGACTTAAACTTTGAAACGTTTAACTAACGACACTTTATGAAGTTCCTGATGGTTTAATAACAGGAAGTGACATCAGATTATTGATCACAACAAAAACTTCTCATCATTAACTGATCTGATCATTATTTTCTCATCAGAAAACTTTCACTTCACGTTAAACACAGAACAAATAATCAATGAAGTTGTTTGAGGTCATTAGAGATTATTGTTGTCTATCGACTGATCAAACTCTTTATCGTGTAATAACATAAACAATCAAATGTGTTTGAGATGAATCATAAACATTTTCATGACATTGTTAAAACACATTGATTCATATGAGTAAAATAAGTCAAATGAAAGTGTCAAATGTTAAATTCCATCACTTTAATGTCCACACATATGAAAACGGTTTTCCAGTGTTGATACTGATCCAGGGACAGTTTGAATTAATAAATGATTGTAGCTCTTCAGTGACTGTTAACTAAACAGGTGTTCTCCATATCATGCTAACAGCTAACAGCCTCACCTCCAGGACTCCGGGTTCCTCCGGGTTCCCGTCATCATCCTGCCTGCTCAGCACCTTCTTTAATTTATCCATTAACTCCAGGTGCTTCCAGATGTTCCACGTTCAGGTGACAGGAGACAGACTGACAAACAGGAAGTCAGCATCGCAACAGGTGCAGCACTTCTGCCTGAAGTCCCGCCTCTGGCCAAAATGAGCCTGGAGAGGCATCGAGAAACTGTGACAGAGAGTTAGCATGTTGTTTAGAACATGATCAAAAGTTCACATGTTAGCATGTTGTTTAGAACATGATCAAAAGTTCACATGTTAGCATGTTGTTTAGAA